TCAAATTATCTCATGGTGAGACTGATCTATGTATTGGTTCTATCAATTCTAATCGATATCGAAGTGAATTAGTGAATATGATAGGAATGTTTGTTTCAACATTACCATATCGCATTCAACTTGATCCACTTTGGTCATTTGATGAAGTAGTTAAATATGTACAAAAAAAATGTTTATCAATTCTTACACATTCTCATTACCCACTTCAACATATTCTTGCTGATTTACATCTCACTCAATCAAATGCATCATTTCTTGAAACAATGTTTGATTTCATCATTATATCAGATGAAGATAATGATTTATGTTTGAATGGAGTCAATCTACAGCAAGTGCCGTCAAATGACTCATATGAAATGGCTAAATTTGACTTTTCAGTGAACTTTATCTACAATTCGTCATCAGATGATAATCAGTTGTCTTGCTCTTTTATTTGCTCAAGTGATTTATTTGATGGAAGAATACTCACCATAATAGGTCGAAGATTTCAATACATGTTTGAGCAACTGTTTCAAACACAACCAAGCAACATTCCTTTGATGAGCGGGAGTTCATCGATTAACAAAATTTCTCTTATTCTTTCTGAGGAAGCTGAAGAAATGGACCTGATCGTGTTTGATCGATTGAAGGATATTCTTAGTAAAGGTATGATTATTTATTTTTTCTTTTCTTCTAGAAGGAAAAAATGAAGGTATCTATGTGCTTTTTTAGCATTACCAGAGAAACTAACTAAATCATGCATTCAATCATACACAGACAAATTTTCGTAAAACAGTTCTCCTATTTAAAAAGATCATTGTGTGAATTGGCAAGTCGATGCATATCGAATCCCTTACGTGGACGATTATTTAAGTCATACTAATAGTAATAATAATAAGGAATATTGTATAATATCGACTTAGAACCTTTCCGTAAAATGGGAATCTCAAATGAATGTTGAAATAGTACTGTCGCCGTATTCTAATTTGGAAACAGTATACACATTTTTGTTGAAGTTCGAACTTTTATTTTCAGTTGATTCTTGTAGATCGGATCTTTCAACCAATGTGCCCTACAGATAATATGTTGTTAAATGAAAACATAGAAATGGAATAACAGAATAATGTTAGGTCGTTTTAAGTGTTTCTTTATTTAAAAGCAGAAATGCAAAAAACTACATGCATACACATAGAGATAGACACACTACAAAGAGACATACTGTGTATCACGGTCTGTGATGCCAACTGTCATTGTCAGAAAATCGGAATTGTAATATGAAAATCCACAAATTTCCGGAAAGGTTTTTTCTTAAATCCGGAAAGGTTTTTAACAGTTGATTTTGTATCGGCTAAAATAAGTTTCTCAAAATCTTGTTCTCGATTATACCACTTGTTATTTCAAAAAACACATGTATCTACACTGTAAAAAAAGGATGGATCCTGAACCCTCCAAAAAGGATTCGCAGATTTCGAAAAGACTCTAAATGTGTTCAA